CGGTTATTTAATAGTAAAGCATATAAAAAAACACTAAAATTAAAACTAAATTAAGAATAATCTTTTATATACTTTATAACAATCTTTGTTAACTTTACTTTTCTCGTTTCGTCAGAAGTTTTTTTTTGTTTTTGTATTTTGACATCTTCGGCCACCAGAGGGACAAAAATGATCGTCTGTTCCGAAAATTTTTAGCCTTCGCTATGTTTTTTTAGAAGGAAAAAAACTAAATATATTATTTTCGCGATAATTGTATTTTATTATTAAATTACGATTCACGACTAATAATAATAATAATAATGAGGATGAATGCAAAATCGATTAGATTAATTTAAGAATAAAAATAAAATTTATCATGGAAAGACAAAACACATTGTTTGATAAACAAACAATCCAGGTGTCGCATTCACACACACGTCTTCGAGATGTGGGTGGAAACGGCATCTTGTCTGATAGCTAACAATTGTTTGATGAACAACCAAAAAAAGGGGGGTTATAAAAAACAATAAAATTTCCAACTTATTATTAATTCTTTTTTCCTCTATGTCCTTACTTTATTAAATTCTTTATTATATCATTGTCTACGTTGGAGTTTGTCGGTTTGTGCAAATATAGGAGATCTTATTCAGAAAAACAATTGTATTTAAGACGTATAAAATGACTTACAGAATCCTTATTGTCTATCATTAAATACCTTTCTATACGTTACTCCCTCTATAGACAATGCTATTCAATAATTGATGGATTTCTCTTCCTTATTATTTTTCCCTTTTAGATAAACGTGCTCAAATAATTGTCTTTTTAATCTATCTATCTCTTTTTTCTTCACTTTTATCGTATTTATATCAATCTAACATCCTTCTTTATTATAATGCTCTGCACAAAACTTTCTTATCAGTATCAAATTGTTGGTTGGTTGATATACAGACGTCTACAAAAATACAATTGGTTTTTTGTTACAATTATGGTTTAAAATAGTACATTATACGAGCAATAAATACATAAAAGGAACATATTGTGGAGTAAATACAATAAGTGGACGAAATACAAAATAGTAAAATACAAGATAACAGTTTAAATAAAAAAAATTATATTAGGAGCTGTATTAAGGAAGGTTACTTACATTTTGGGAGATAGTCAACTCGTACAAGCAGTGTTTACCATTACAAGTGTTGCAACTATAGGATGGTATCCAGAGATGGTGTTATAAAGGTAACTTGTAACACATGCTGGGTAATGGGTATCAGATGTTTAAGTAAGGGTGTCAAGATGGGATCTACTGTAGTTGTTTTCGTGTTTTCGTTTATTCTCTTTTATCATGGATTTTTGATAATTTCTACATGTTCGCGTTTGATAGTATTTCTTTCGATTTTTAATAATTTTAACGAATTTTAATACTGCAATTATGGAAAACACCGTGTTTAGCTACAGAGGAGTTTTCAAGGTTGTATTTAATACCATTGATGTGTTCTTTAAAACGGATTTTTAACTTTTCTTTTGATTTCATCAACAAAAGTGTGATTACATCTACAGGAAAAACTATAAACTATATTGTTTTTTTGGAAATGTTAATAATAGTTTTGTTGTTGCTTAATCTTTTCTGGGTAATGTTGATGTGTGCCGGAACAATACATATATTAAATTATTTGAAATTATGATTGATCTTTTCGAAAACGTTTTCGACATACGGAACTTTATGTGATTTGGTTGATGAACTAATGTTTTGGGTTATGTTGTAAACCTGTTATCTCTGGCTCCTGTGTAATTTTTTCGACTATGTTGTCAACATTGTGTGATAAGTCTACCTTAGTAGCCAAAAATTAGTGCTCATCGTCTTTTAGTCTAAAAAGGTATTTAAAGAGGACAAGAAAGGAAAGTAATAAGTTTATTAAGATAAAACAGAAGTGCTGGATAAGTGAGTAGAACAAATTTTAAAATACTTTTAGTAAACTTTAATTTTTAAACAAGTTTTATCCCTTTATTATATAGGCAAGTTTCCTTTAGAATTAACTTTTCTGAATAAGTTCTCCTCTATTTGCACAAACGAAAACAACACCAGTATAATAAGTCCTATTAATATACAAAAAGTCCAGCATAGACAATGATATAATAATTTCCAACTTACTATTTAAAGAGAATACATTATTAGCTTAGAAGTTAAAATAAGTTGATTAAAATTATAAAGATGATGATGATAATAATAGGTATATAATACAACCAAATTTTGGAGGAAATGGAGGGCCTTATAACACTATTCTAAAGAAGATATACAAGTATCTTACAGTACGTCATCACCCAGGGTACGCTCTCTACACCCGATATATGTTATGTGGAGATTTGGTGGAAGCTTCCATTGGTCAGTTTTCTAATACACGGACAGCCAAAAGATTTGTTACAGAATCATAATAAACAGATTTTATTGGGCGAACATATGACAAACAACTAAAAAGTTATCGTAAAATACATACAGTGTAAACAAATAGCGCAGATCACACGTAGACCCATCTGTACTTTTTAGTCTGGTGTGGACGAAGAAATGATTAGCGACCAGATTTCGGGGGGTCAGGTGACCTTAAGTCGTACGGATACTTAGTTTTTAAACTGTACTTATACGTCCCATTAGAGACATTTTGTCATGACGTTCACATCTTTCTAGCTAGACCACCTACTATGATTCTAGGAAAAGGTGAAAGTAATCTGACTGGTAAATATATTGTATTTACTGATTACTCGAGAGAACAATAAAATATAGGGGCTGATACAAGAAGCTTAAGTCCTCCTCACTGACACAAAAGCAATTAAAAGTTATTTGTTCGAACTTGAAAATGTTGCTTTTAACGACATTTACGATGGTAAATCAGTTTGTCTTTACACGGATAAAGATTGATATTTATAGATTACTAGCTTACCCGTCGCGCATTGCTGCGATCTCAGAAGAAAAGATATTCAAGCAAACTCGTTATGATAAAATTCAATTTACATTTTATTATTTTTATTGAAACATTATTATTATTCATTTTCATCGGGAAAACATTTCAAAGTGTCGTTTCAATTCTATTTATTTATTACAGTGTTTGTGGATACACGATATTTTTTGTTTTTCCGTCTGGTGCGTACACGAATAAATCGGAAGGTTTTTCGACGCGTGAGTTGGCCACATACAGTTGTCCATGCGAGAAGCACGGATTCTCCAAATTTAGCCCACACACTCGCAGCGATTGTCAGAAGTGCGATATTCCCCATTTTTATATATATATTTTTTAATCCTTTATAATTTTAATTATTTAATTGCTCCTTCCTCTCTTCCTTGGCATGTTGTGAAATTTCTGATAGTTGGATAATAAACCGTTTTATTGTAATTTGTCTTTTTAAATTATTTTGAGTCGATATTAAAATTTGGAAAAGGGGGGATACCTAGATCGGTAAAATACGCGAATTTCTTCCTACAACTTCGGTTGTTGTTCGGGGTACAGTTAAGGTTTTAACGAAGTTCGAGCGAATACATAATTAGCAAAAAAAAGTTGAAATAAAGTGATTAAACAAAAATTATTACAAATATCGTAAATAACAGTTCACAAATGCATATATAGAAATATTTTTTGAAGGGGGAAATGGTCTTCACAATTTGAAATCGATCGAACACACTGTGCTCGAATGCTCGTGTAAACGCGCGCCATCTATCGTAGGATAAATGTACTATGCCAAAATTCTTCGCGGGAGTGAATTAAAAAACTTTCCGAAGTTTTATGGCAATCGTACTATGCCACAAACCTTCGCAGGAGTATATTAAACAACTTCCCAAAGTTTCACGGCAATCGGATAAACGGTGCCGTAATGCATGAAGGACAGACAGACACACACACACACATTCATTTTTATATATATATAGATTACTTGCTTTAACCAAAAAACTTGGATAGTTTGTATTGTATTGTTAATAGAATGTACAGTACCGTACATAAAAATGCATCTTCAAGCTCGTGGCAAACACATGTTCCTTCGTGCAAAAATGAATTTAAGTACGGGGCCGTGCATAAATTACGTAACGCAGATATGACTGGTAGCTATACGGGTAATGGTGTTACGGGTGTTTACAAAAACGTTACGTAACACTGGGATCTCAATCCAAGTAACATAACCATTCAGTTTTGTTTCCGAAGTGTCGTTTATGCCACAGCTTTATGCACGTAATAAATAATGTAAAGCCGGTGTACCTGAATGTGTATACCCTGCTTAACATTCGGTATTCTATGACGTGTATTGTTCCTTAGTACAATTTATTATACTGTATATATAGAACAGATACAGATTGCATTTATAGAGATTTTTATGCATGAAATACAATTAAAAATGTAAAAAAAGGCTTTGTTTTGGGGGAAAGGAACGGATTAATCCATTTTATAGTGCTTCTTACGGGAAAATTTGTTTCGGTTTACGAACGAATCGATTATCGAACAACTTTTAGGAACGAATTAAGCTCGAAAATCGAGGTTTCAATTGCGGCGACAAATCACGTTCGGGTCACCACTGAGGTAATGGATGGCCGCCGTCAGTTAGACGAAACCTGGGGCCGTATTCTGGTCACCGTCTCTGGTCTCTCGTCTTTCGCAAGCCGGTCGTTGATTGGCTAATCATTTGGATTAGCCAATCAGCGACCGGCTTGCGATAGACGAGAGACGATGACCAGAATATGGCCCCTGGCCGTCTTTCTCCATCCATTTACATCTCCACAAAGACTATCTTTATCAGAAGGTTATAAACGTGGTCGTGGACTTAACTAATTCACGTTTATAACCTTCTGATAAAGATAGTCTTCGTGGAGATGTAAATGGATGGAGAAAGACGGCCAGGTTTCGTCTAACTGACGGCGGCCATCCATTACCTCAGTGGTGACCCGAACGTGATTTGTCGCCGCACAATGTATTAACGAATGTTTAATTTTCACCTAAAAGACGTAAAAACTAGATATAAAACGAATTGGAAAGTTAATTCATCCTCACCTTTACAAAATAAATTACCTCACCTCGTGTTATCCACAACTTTCCAAGCTTCTTTTCAAAGTACGACGATAGATGGCGTTCTCTCCATTCGTCGTCTGTTTTTACATTTTGATTTAAAAATAAATTAATAGTAAATGAAATAAAATAAATTGGAATTTTATATTAATGTCGCGTTAAATAATTAAATTATAAATATTTTAAAGTTTTTATAAATATTAATAATTAGTTATTTCGAAGTTCTCAATTTTTAACTTTTACTTTTATTCAAATTTAAATTGTTAGTTATTAAGATGAAATTCCTGTTACGTAAATTGTTTTATAATATTTTAACGAGATATTTTTACTATCAAAAACAGTATGAAATTATATAATTAAATTACACGATAACATTTTAAAATAATATAACTTCAGTCGAGGCTTGTGTCAGATCCGGCGTTAGAAGACAATAAAACACACAGGAACGAGTCCAAGTAGCCTTTATTTCCTTTGATAAAGCCAGCATACAATTGGTTAGACTACAAAATATTACCCAATCACGTTTACCACACTTACGCCCGCTGGCCGCGACATATACTTTTAGTCGATAAACTACACCCCTTTTTCCTACGTTTTCAGTCTTACATACTTCCAGCATACCTTCAAAGTCTTGCAGGTATGCTGAAGGGCGAACTGCGCGATGTGGTCGTGGTGAGTGCGGACCCGCGTAGCTGCGATCCAGCTCGACATGGTCTGGTGGGACAATACCTGATTCCTGTTTCGTGTTTGGTAGCCCATTCTCTGTTGTATCGTGAGTTGTGAGAAAGCGGTATCTCGTTTGGTCTATGTGTCTATATGTCTATGTGTCTATGGTCTATACGACGGGTCACGACAGCTGGAATCCATTTTGAGTTCCTTCCTGCTCTACGGATGTAGACAGGTGCAAGTTTTTAGGGGTGCGTACCTGTTTCCTAAGTCCAGAGTGTTTTGTAGAGGATGGGACCGGGTCTGGGTGCACAAAGTCAAGACATGTTCGCAGACGTCGCTTTATAGCATTTCTGCTGGGCTCACCCCCGTACTTGCGCAAGGAGTGATGTGCTGTTGTAATAGAAATTGACATAGTATTTTTGGACCAATCCCTGGGCATCATTTTCTTTAGCGATTCCTTTGTAGAACAAACCATACTCTCGGTTCAACCATTTCCTTGTGGATGGTAGGGTGCAATACGTATCTGACAAATGCTGCTGGACCTTAAGAAAATGGAAAACTTCTCTGAAGCAATCTGTGGACCATTGTCTGATACAATACTGTCAGGTATACCGTGAGTGTCATTAGTTCTCGAAGTACCATAATGATGCAATATCTGAAGCGATGACTGGTGAAGTGTCAAGTTGCTCTAGAAATAGAACTTCACTGGCTGATTGTATATCCTCATGTGGAATTGGGAGCGACAAGAATCAGTGTGTCTGCCTGCATTTGCTCTCTTTGCCTGGTTTGTACAGTACTTGAGCTTATAATCATATGCACTGAGAATGTATCCACCGCAGCATGCGGAGTGAAAGAATTAATGGTGTCGGCTTAGGTTGTAAATAGTCCCAAAAGTGGTCTGTAGTCTGTGTAAATAGAAAATTTTGTTCCAAAAAGGAAATGATAGAAACGTTTTACTCCATACACAACAGCAAGAGTTCCCTTATCGTTGTGTGCATAACCACGTTCGGTCTTTGTAAGTATGCGGGATGCAAAAGCCATAGGAGATTCTTTTCCATTCTGTGAACGCAAACTCAGAACTACATCTACGCCTACAAGCGAAGTATCGCGTGTGAATGTGATCTCCTTGGTCCCATCAAAGGGAACAAGTATGTTTTCTGATGAAAGGAGGGTTTTTAATTCATCGAAAGCTCTGTGATGTATTTCTATCCATTTCCGGGATGCGTCCTTTGTCAGTAGTCGGTATAATGATTCTTCAATAGTTACCCTATGGTGCAGAAAATTACCTTTTATGGTAATTTTCTGCACCATAAGTTCACTAACCCAACAAAAGCCTTGAGTTTTTTACAATTTGTTGGAATGAGAACCTTCTGGATTGCAGTCACCTTTGACGGTATCGGATGAAGCACATTACTATCGATTTGATAGCCCAAAAACTCAACATTTGAGACATCAAATAGACACTTGTTCTTGTTTACATGTAACCCATAATCTGATAATTTCTGGAAGACATTAAGAAGTCTTGATGCAAGTTCGTCCCTGTTAGCGCACAGTAAGGATGTCATCGAAATATGGTATCACCACCGGGAGGGTGGAGAGGAGTCTGTCTACTAAACTCTGAAATACTCATGTTGCTACACTTACTCTAAACTGAAGATGATTTACCTTGTATACTCCTCGGTGAGTGATGATTGATTGTAGCCGTGCCGAGGCACCATCCACAGGTAGTTATAGATATGCCTGGGCTAAGTCCAACTTTGCAAATATTGTTGCAGGTGGGGGGAGATTGCCAACAGATGGACAGGTGGAATACCGGTGGAATACAGGTGGAACAAATACAGGTGGAATTGGATACGGATGTTCTCTAAGAGCTTTGTTTAAGGTTACTTTATAATCTCCACAAAGTATTATTTCACCAGATGGTTTCATAACAGACACAAAATGGTGTAGCCCACGTTGGATCTTCAATAGGTTCGAGGACACCTTCTCTCAATAGAGCATCAAATGTTTCTTCAATTTTTGGACGGAGAGCGAGTAGAACTGGGCGTGCTTTCATTCGGATTAGTAGATGCGTTGAGTCCACAGGTAACGATACAGGAAGACCTCTGTATTTGTCCAGTTTCCCATCGAATACTTATGGGAAATCCTCAATGACTCTTGTAACACTATCACAAGAAACAGAATTTACACCACACAGTTTAATTCATAACGGTTCATACCGAGAAAGTAAGAGCGACAATCAGTTGCAACAAGTAGTTGGAGTTGACATGCATGTCCATTGTATGAGCTGGAACGGTACACTGTCCTCTTTAAGGTTGATCATGGAGCACAAAGGAACTGACTGTAACTTGGGTGTCTTGGTAGGCCACAAACTTATGAACTTATATCGCTGTTGATTGTATACCCAGAACTAGAGTCTACTTCTAACTGACATGGACGGCCATCGAGTTGAACAGTGATCTTACACTTCAGGATTGTAATTGGGCCAAGGTTATTAACAGTATATGATAATGCAACACCAACATCATTTGTGAAGGCAGATGTCCTTAGTGATCGATTTTTTTCTTTTATATGGTAGCGATAATGATGGTTCAGATGCCCTTTTAGCCCTACAGACTAACCCTTTAGACTCTAAACGTTTAGTTTTACTTGCAGTAGTGACATTTGGCATTTAGGTATGGACACTTACTTCTCGGGCGTACACCACCACAACCACCACAAGGTTGACAGCTTAATTTTGAGAAATTCTTGACACCCTGTTTCTGCTTCCGGCTTGCGTGTATTGCAGCAACAGTAGAAGAGTGAACTCCATTAGTGCGAATTTCTCTGCTCCTGTCAGTGGCATCCTCTGCTGCAAGAAAAAAATTGACACAGTCGTCAAATTTTGGGTCTGACTCAGCCAATAATCTTTTTTGTAAAGCTTCATCCAAATTAATCGCGAAGACACTCGGGTATCGTCTCTCCGAAACTGCAATCATCTACAAGGCAGCGCAGATCGGCAACATAAGAGCTTAAAGACTCACCTTCCTTCTGAACTCTTTTCGAAACTGGAAATGTTGGTGACTTGGGACAGAAATAATTCTTGAGAAGATTGAATAATTGATCATACGTTCTTTGTCGAGGATGATCTGGAGTTCCCTTACTGAACTTACTTTTACCTTACTTAAGCCCCCCTGGCCGTGACGTATACCATTACTCGATACACTACATCTTAAGGTAGATTTAATGTAATTATATATAGTATCATAAGAGACGAGTAACAAAAATTCTTTTGAATTGCATAAATGGCAATGACCTATTGAAAAAGCAATATAAATAGTGAAAAATTATTTAATTATAGTCTTTTCATATTTATTCCAATACTCAATGACATATAGTTGAAATCTTAAATGAATTTTTAAGACACGTTGATACCATACGGGTGAAAACTGATTGAGCTAAAAGATTTTGATGGTTTATTTTAAAAAATGCAGTTTACCAGTTGTGTACATCCGTAAGTTACTCTCAGTCATCCTCCAAATTTTCAAATAACGTATACGAAATGCCAAAAGATTGCAAAATTTTACTAAATTTTTAATGCCAATGACTTTTATCTCTTGTCAATTTAACGCATTGTTTCAGCACGGTCTTATGGAGAAACTCGATATTTTTGTCAATATTATATTTCAGTCAGTGATAAAATTTAATTAATCTCTTTTAAACAGAAAGAAAAAGTTTAATATCTATTTGTCTCGCACCGAAGCGCGTAACCAGGCAATGTTTTTTTCTATACCCCAAACAATCTGCGAAGAGAAATTATATGAAAACATTCTAAATCATATAAGTAGTCAAGTCCTCATACACTGACGAATTTATTAAAAAAATTATATAAATATATAAATTCACATTAGAAATTTTCAGTAAGGAACATCAGTATAATAAATCATCTATTAACTGTTTAACTGTAGCACTTAGTTTGTAGACATGGAGGGGAACATTTCGCATTAATTTATATTATTTCTAAAACAGAATCTAATACATTTAAAAATTAAAAAATAACAATGTTCAATTAAAATATCATAAATTAAATAGAAACATCATAATCTGGTACAGTACTGTATAATAATTAACGTTAACTCAATTTAAAAACCATTAAATGTATTTAATAAGCGTAAAACTTAGAACAAGTATATAATACTTTAATACCATAATACCTGTATACCTAATATATAAATACTATAATATTTATCCGATCACATAGAAGTTATAATTAATAAAACGTAAATTTTATTGTAAAAAATTTAAAAATTATACAGTGAAACCTGTATAAACCGGAATGGCACGGTATTAAATATCTTTTCAGATTTGGCAGGTGTTTTTTTTTTTAACACGGAAAATCGCCGACTTCACACCGTTTAAACAGGTTTTCGT